ACCATGCAATCGCACCTACTGTTCGTTCTGGTGCAGAAGGTGCGTTGCGTTGCCCGCCAACAGATTGATCGCTTGCACCGGAACATGCAGTACCGCAATGCCGTGCGTTCCAGTGTGATGCTACTTGGGTCGCATCTCAATGACCAAGGACAAATGTGGGTCTTGAGGTTATACAGGTTGGGAACCACTGCTCTAGAATGTCTGTATACACTTGTTCTAGCAATCTCAGTAGGCTTATGGGGCCAGGCTGTTCTATTGATGACATTTCCTTTCAATTCCTGTCCTGGAGGCACAACAGGTATTAAAGGAGAACTATGGTGCAACCTTTTTTCCCCATAGCTGTCCTCAGGGTCATGGGAGGACATATACTGTGTTCTCAGGTGACCCAAAACTCAGTATATAGCAGGCTATTGCCCGCTATCTACTGAGAGCGCCGCAGCCGGGAAGGATTCCGGCAATACTGTCGAGATTCGCCCACCTGGCTGATTGACAGCGGGCTCTGCCTATCTAGAGAATGAGCCAGCTGTGACCACCCCCTCCCCCGTCCTTTTCTCCAGTCAGCTCTGGAGAATAGTAGAGGGAAAGAGGGAATCCCTACGGGGAGCGGTGACTGACAGTTACCGCTCTCTGCAGGGATAGGATCGGGAAGTCAGTGACGGCAGTGTGTGTTCGCTGACTTCCCAATCAATAGAGCCGACCTGTGACAGCTTTAGGGTCACAAGTCGGCTTGAATTATGGGGATGAGTGTTTTTCCCTCACCCTATAATTCTCCTTTAAGTTTCTATGTGTGGAGTGTTAACACATGCTTGTTAAGTTGTGCATTAACATGCATCCCGTTAAGGCAGCCCACACATTTGATTGGGCTGCTAACGCACCAGAAAACCTAAAACAATTTTCCCAACACAGCTCACCACAACACACAGTAGTATGTTAGCTTGTATTGTAGTATCCTGCGATGCAGATGTGGGAGGTGTGTGCACCACAAAGCACTAACCTGTGTATGGTGTGCTACCACAAAGAATAGGTGTGCAGCCGGCAAACAAATTTGTTTCTCCCAACAGAACATTGTTTCGGTAGTGGTACAGAGGTGGCATTTTCTGTGGTAACCTCCCAGTGTCACATAGCAGACTCAGGAACATATGATACCTGCAGATATTTGATTTAGATTTTTGTTGTTACATTTTTACTAAAAAAAAAAACACAACCCTAACCCACTCCTACCCCTGCATGTAAACCAACCAATAGTATCAGTAACATCTTATTAATGAATGAACTAATATACAGTGTGGTATAGCATATCCAACAAGATGTGCTCCTGTAAATTTATATCTGTAGCTTTACACAAGTTAGCCTGTATACAGCACAATGTGTTGTACCCTCTTTGCAGCCTCTTTAATATTTTTCAAAGCTTTTACCAAAGAGTATTTATGTGCATGACAGTAAAGTGCATATACAGCCCGTGATAGTGGTATAATTGTGAAAGACCTGGGGCACCCTTGGGTACCCTGTGAGGATGAATGACTCAGATTGTAGGTGTGGCCATAATGCACTGTGCCAACAGTTGCATTATGTGTGAGGGGCTTAAATGGGCATGGGTAAATAAAATCGAAGCCTAGCCACTGTATACATAGCACAAAGATGTCACATTCCTTGTATCCACAAAATATGCTATCAAGGGAAGGAAAGCCAATGGCTCTACTTCTCTTTTGGGTCACAGGAGTACATTTAATAATGTACTTCTGTGACCCAAACACACCAGTTAATGGGCTACTGCCCGCTCTCTACTGACAGCACAGAGCCATGCCACAGTCAAAAAGGATCCTGACAATATTTTTGGTACCCACCCCGGTTGCCTGATTGACAGCTGACTCTGTGTCTCTGCACACAACTAAGAGACAACCATGCCCTCCCTCTCCTTATCCTGTAGCTCCAGCTAGTGCTATAGGAACAGAGAGTGAGGGGGGGGGATCCCTGCGAGAAGTCATGTATGAGCCACAGCAAATAAAGTAGTGGCCCCATGGGATTGTCACCCTCATTATGCATATATTTAATTTAATCTTGTTAATTATAGATAACATAAATTGGCTTAAAGTGACACAAACTTCAGGAGTTAAAACAGACCTTAACACTGCAGTATTGAATTTGTAAAAAAAAATACATTCCCATAACCAATAATAAACCATAAACACATTAGACTCATTAAAAAAAGCTGTTTCTTCATTTTTAAATACATTGTTTTATCTTTAAAATTCAGCGCCTCACTGCAGCGGGCGGCCACAAGCCACTTCTTCCGTGCCTTCTTCTTGCTTCAGCAAGGTAAATCATTCATTACTTACTAAGACCACACCCCCTTCTGACGATGCACCGCTATTCTCACGCATGCACATATGATAAAATGAAACTACCCATCCACATTGCATGCTGTTAAGGGTAATCTTGCGAGATCTCGCAGCCATTTTCATCATGAACGAGATCTAATTTCAATGAGAAAGCAATCCCAGTGTGCATTGCGTTGGCAAACTGAACTACTTTGCACCTGGAAAGCAGGAAGTGAATGCTCTGCAAGTGTAAAGGTGCCCATACACCTTACGACCATCGCAAGACTTTTGTCTTGCGATGGTCGTAAGCTTATTAAAAGGTGACACAAAAAATTATTGGAAATCCAAACTTTTAGCTCTGTCATCAGGACAAGCCCTGAGGCGGTACATCTCCCAATGGGCACACCTGTTAGAGGGATTACTGTTAAAGAAGGAACTTCCCTTTACTTTGTAGACTCTCACTTCCTGTTGTGTCTCTGGAACAGGAAGTGACGGAAATTCTTCCCAATACAGCCCTTCCCTTCTCTATCCAAAGCACAAAAGAAAAGGTACTGCACTTGTAGTCCATTCATTCTTCCTCTTCCATTCAATCTGCAGGAGCCAGAGCTTTGTACCTGTGATCCACTAATCATGGTTACAATGCTTTACTGGCTCCAATGCAAATAATAAGAAATGCACAATGTTTCTTTTATGAACATGTGTACATTTATTGTAATGATGTCATTGTAATGTCTTCCTTATATTGTAAAGCGCTGCGCAAACTGTTGGCGCTATATAAATACTATGTAATAATAACTTGTTATTTTTTTCTAAAAGGGTGGACTATTCCTTTAAATCACCAATCAACTTGTGTCTGCAACTATGCCTGACAATACACGTTACAATCTGACCATACAATCTGTGTATAACTGACTTTAGAGCGACCAAAACTATGGAATATGAAGGCCTACCTAGTCAATGCAATCAATCTGTATCCTATCAGCCTATCACTTGTACTACATAGTTGTCGGTAGATCCAGTGGTGTATTCTGGTTTGGGGTTGCCCTAGGCAAGACGAAACTAGGGCACCCCCCCAATAAATCTGCAGGATCTCCGGGGGGCTGTGCAGGATCTGTGGTGGGCTCTGCCATAGAGCCCACCACAGATCCTGCAAAGCCCCCGAGACCCTGCAGAGCCCACCAGAGATCATGCACCCCCCGAGACCCTGCAGACAAGTGCAGGATGTGTGGTGGGCTCTGCCCACCATAGACCCCAACAGATCCTGCATAGCCCACCCGAGACCCTGCAGACCAGTGCAGGATGTGTGGTGGGCTCGGCCCACCATAGACCCCCACAGATCCTGCCAAGCCCACCCGAGACTCCCAGGTGGGCTGTGCAGAATCCATGCTGGACTGTGCAGGGTCCCTTTAGCAGCAGTGTGATCATCTTACCTGCTGCTTTGTCCCCAGCCTCCTCCACCACTGGACTGGTGCTGCAGGACCTGGCTTCCTCCGCAGCCCAACGACTCTTCTGTGACCCGGCTTCCTACGGTGCAACGGCTCCCTGGCCCTGCCCCTTCCTGATCCGACGTCGCCCCAGCCTCACCCCGCCCCCTCCTGCTGCTCCGACTCCTCTGCCTCTTTGCCGACTCCGTCCTTTGACTCCTCCGCCTCTTGCGCCCCGACTGCCTAAATGTTTTGGGGGCAGCATTTTTGCCCCCCCCTGAAAACTGCCGCCCAAGGCAAACGCCTTGTTTGCCTTGTGACATATATGCCCCTGGGTCGATCCAAAGGAGATTGTACAAGCAGATTATAACATGTATGGTGAGCATTAATGTGGCCAAATACTATACAATCTCTGTCCAAACTACATTAGATTAACCCAAACGGTGTAATATGGGGAAAACCTTAACAACCAACTCAATTAGTGTCACAACAGACAGGCCCTTGCACTACATAGTTGATAGTAGATCTAAAGGAGATTGTACAATCAGATTGTATAGTGCATGGTCAGCCACAGGCTATGATCTCTGTACAATCAACTTCAGGTCTACCAAAACTATGTAATATGAGGACCTACCTAAACTATACAATCATTGTATATACAATCAGGCAGGCCTTTTCTAAGGAAAATTGGATTGTTACATATGTGGTGAGCTCAAAGGCGATTGTACAATTGCATTGTAACGTGTTTAGTGACCTTAGAGGCGATTGTATCTCTAGACTGTAAGGCGATGTGTGCTTTTTTGTAATTGCTTGCCGCATTGGTGTTGTTTTATACGATCTGCAGTGCAACTCTTTTGGAGTAGTGCTAATATCAACATCAAAACAGGCCATGTGATCTCCAGGGAGTTGATCACATGATCATATGAACCAGTGAACACATGAAACGGAAGGCCAGCCCTTGCACCTCTCTCCTGCACCACCAAGTAATAAATGGGCACAGCGCCCCCTAGTGATACCCCAGAGAGTAGCGCTCATAACTATTAGCGTCCAACAGGATAGACAGCCCAGCACACCATATCATGTTCCTTCTTTATATGAATACAGTGTGTATCCCCCGCTAATATCACAGTGTCATCGAGTTTACATATGACTCGGAGATAAGTGAACTCCCCCTACCTGTCAGATGTGGTGCGGTCCTACACGATATAAGGTGAAGCTGACCAATATGGCGCAGGTACAGTCGCTGTGATCGGATGGGATGGAGGGGGATGGTAGTATAGCGCGGTATCATAGAGGTTTCGCCAGCTTGTTGGCTCCGCGGTCTGACCAGTATTGGGATCCGCCAGAGCAGGTCCGGGCGGTAGATGATGAGGACGGTGTAGAGGGCGCCACCTGCCGGGTGTTACTGGACATGAGCGATGAACTCCTGCTGATGATTCTGAATCTCCTTGACCCCTTTTCATTGCTGTGTGCTGGTGGAGTGTGCACCGCTCTGTACAGGGTCAGCAGTACCGACAGTCTGTGGGCAAAACACTGCCAGGTAGGTGACATCTACAGCACATTCACCCCTCTATCACATGGAAAGTGCCCGGAAATGGCACTTTCCATGCCATTGAAGGCTTCATATTTTCCCATCTATTCCTGTTCTGATAACCCCAAATTTGGGATTTTTGTTTGATGTGCAGTGATCATGGTCACCAAGAGACCTAGAGAGGTGAATCTCTCTGATGGGGATACAGATGGAAATTAAAACATGCCATCCGTTAAAATCTCCATGCTATCCAAATGTAAAATTAAATGTTTTGGCTTCAGTTGCTTGTTAACCCTGGAGGAACCCTTGAAAATAGTTTGGTGATCTACAGTCACTCACTGAACCAATTGCAACTCCATAAATGTCAAATGACCCCTTCAACCTAGTACCACTGGACATTAAAATACCTCTATTACATACCAGATGTAGCAGATTGGTTATACAAAGATAACACACTGTTGTATAGATGAGTATCTGGACACCCATTCCATTTATCAGTAGTTGGATATTATTCATCAGTCTGCATGAACAAATGTTGCTTAAGAAGGAACCCTAAAACAAGTGCAGTGTAGAAAAGTGGATCATAGTGCAGTGTAGAAAAGTGGATCATAGTGCAGTGCACAAGTGCAGTGTAGAAAATTGGATCATGGAGACCTGGTTGGTATGCAAGTAAGTATGTCATTATGCAAGTACTTGTAAGAACATGGTAGACCTCCTAACTCAAATAAGCTGTCATGAAGTATTCCAACAATACTGGTGCTGATACTTGGTAAGTGGGGAATAAATGTGATCAGGGGTGTTCCATGATGTATCGCAGCCTGAGAATGATAGGGGGCAGTCAACATGGGTTATGTGGGGTTCTAATGGTGATAAATGTTACTTGGGGGGCATAAGGCTGATGTCACTGGTTGTCAGGAGCTGGATTGGACACCTGCTAGAGTGTCCTGCCAGTTGCGTCGCTGAGCCGGGCGGGGTGCCATCCAGAGCATCACAGGTTGCTAAGAGCTCTTAGAAACCAGGAACGTTGTGCCCAGAAAGGGGGAGGCAGGCACACCTGCCGCTGCCCACCCACCCCCACGTGGCCCAATGATGTGCTGCCTGAGGCAACTGCCTCATTATAGGGATGGCCCTGAATGTGAGGACTGGTGCCAAGTATAGACTGATGAAATATTCTTTCTGCTGAATCTGAGTAAATCTTCTTGGAGTATCATCTTAATATGGCTAAATGAGACCATTGGGTAAGTATCTATATGGAAAGTGAAATCAATCTGGCAGACTTTAGACTTGTTCCATAATGTTACCAACACAAATGTAAGAGTGCAAGCATGGCTAATGCAGTATATAGTATAGTCCAGAAACAGGTTAGTTGGCTTAGATGTTCTGTTGGTCACAGTTTGGATTTAAAAGGGTTTACAAAATAAAAGAATCCTTTAAATCCAAAATGTACACCTGCTTTTCAACATGTAGCGTTAAAGAACATGTCACCTGCTGCATTGAGATCAATTGAAAAGGAATGGGCATGCTCCTCACAATACATGCAAAAGTGTGAAGGGGCCCCATAAAGAAATGAACTATGATAATATTTTAAAGTGCCCCTCTGGCCAGGCTATGGACATTAAACTATTTTACATATCAACCATCTGTTAATGGGTTTTAAAGGCTTTTATACACAGCTGCAAGAGGCCATACAGTGCCCATCCTGGTGTATTTCACCTTCTGGGAGCAACAGGGGTTTTAGGTAATGTTGCTGCTTGTTTAGTATATGTAAATATTTAGTGTGTATGAACTGGGCTGTACACGCTAATGAGAAGATTAACGTTGGAGCCTTGGTTGTCTTTTTTCTTGTATATTGCAGTGACTTAAAGTGACATTAAACCCTCAGATTTGTTAACATAAAACAATACTGTAATGTGTGCCTTGCTGTAATCCATTGTTTCCCTTCTCTTTGCTGCTCTTCCTTTTTAAATCTGTATCTCTTCTCATGCTGGGCAGAACTTCTGTTTTGCAGCAGACTGCCTTGTCTCAGGAATGGATACACGGTGTCTGTGTATTAGTTTCTATAGGCTTGTAACCTGAGCCAGCACTACAGGAAGAGGCCCTGAGCTGAAAAGGGAAGTTCTCCCCAAGCATGAGAAGACATGAGGATTTAAAAGGAAGAGCAGCAAAGAGAAGGGAAACAACCATGGATTACAGTAAGGCACACATTACAGTATTGGTTTGTTAAAAAATCTGAGGGTTTAATGTCACTTTAATAGTTGCTCTACAGCTACAATGTACAACAAGCTTCGGAGTCCATGCACATAAAGATTGTCATTTAGATCCCTTCTTCCACTCATTTCCTCATTGGGTCCTCATTCATTTGTGGACTCTTGGTTTGGCACTGCCTTGTATCGCCTGGTCTGGGTAGCGATTATTTGACACTGCCAAGTCAATTTGTTTTTTAAGACTATCAGGTCTATTCACAAAAGGGTGAAAAGTTTGGGGAAGGCAGGAGAAGTGAACAATCTAGGACCACATAGCTGATTTGGAAAAGCTCTCCAATTCAGCTCACTTTCCAGTTCAGCTATGTTGTCCTAGATTGTTCACTTCTCCTGCCTTCTCCAAACGCTTCACCCTTTTGTGAATAACCCTGCAAGTGAAGGAGGCTTCCTAGGCTTGGGTGTTGAAAAAACAGCATTTCTTCATGTCCAGGTATACATTTTTACTCGCATATAGCTGGATAAAGCTGATACGTGCCACTTTTAACGGGTTTCTAAACCCTCCGCTTTAACAGCGGTTTAAACTTACCCCGTCTTTGCCGCACGCTCCCGTCCGAGAATCCAAAACTGCTTGGGCGGCCGCAAAGCATCTTGAGGAGGGCGAATGTGTAGTTTGGATCTTCAGCCGGGAGACGAGGAGAGACGCAAGTAAGTCTATGGACGCATGCAGACACCGTGGGATCGGAAGTGCCAGCAAGGACAGAGGGTTTGGCGCTGGATCGGACACCTGCCGCACCGCTGGAGAGAAGGCTGAAAAGGACAGGAAAGATCGGATTAAGAGACATCATTTAAGGTAAGTGCTGACATTAACATTGTGGGGAGGGAAAACAAATTTGACTTTAATGTCACTTTAAGCTTGTCATAAATGCTCAGGATGCTTTTCTCTCCACTTTTATTGTAGGTCGCCTTTGGCTCTGGTTTTAGGACAGGCTGTGGTGACTGCGCCCCCAAAGAATCCTTTAAACTTCTTTACATTTGGAGGAAGTTGTACAGAACATTACCATACAACAGGCAATTGCAGGACCTATTTTTTTCAGGGGTTCCTCTTAAAAGGTATTGGGTACAGTTGCTAACACTAGAAGAAATGGTTCCACTCCCCCCTATCGAGCTTCCCGATCATGACATTGTAGACATTTGGGGTATAAAGAAAGATCTCCTTGATGAAAAACATAAAGGTTAGTACCACTGCTGATTATAACATTTGTGTAGCTATCATACTGTTTCAGTAATGTATGGTTCTGAGGACCTTTTCCAAATTTCCAAGCTTTTAATGCTTGTGAAAAATGGGGAGGGCTGGGGTAGACTTGGTTAGGCCAAGGGTAGGTAACCTTGGCATTCCTGCTGTGGTGAAACTGCATTTCATGAAGCATTGCAATACTTTGACAGCCACAGACATGACTCCCAGGGGCAGAGACTTTATGGGATTTGTAGCTTTACTACTGGTGGAGTGCCGAGGTTGCCTACCCCTGGGTTAGGCCACCTGCATTGCAATATGGGAAGGCAGGATCATCAGTAAATGGGGTCAATCTAGTTAGAATGTATTGGCATAACCTATAGTGAAAATAACGAGAGCGCATCCATTGTTGCGTGAGATCTCCATGACCTTTGCTACTCCAACATTTCTACAATAGTACAATACTAACTTAGCCACTCTCCTTCATAAAAGCTGCTTTATGAAGGCAGACTTTGCATGAAAATGGTCAGCTTTGATGACAGCCCCCCACTCCCCCAGTAACACTTTGTCTTACAGCTGCTTTCTGGAAAAACATGGATAATGGAAATCTTGCTAGATTGTGTTCATGCATTGTTCTTTTATAATTTACCAGATTGCACAGGAAAAAGTCGATGCTTACCCATTGTTCCTCCATGAATATTCCTCCCAGTGGGAACTCTCAGAAGTAGGTTGCTTGAGCAATTGCCGAGAATCTAGGTTAAAATTTTGCTTTAATACCTTTAAAAATAAAAGCAAGTAGATGTCTGCTTGAGCAAACATGAAGCCCAAAACCAGTCACGTGAAAAAAGGAAAAATCAAATATGAAAATCTTGCTTATTCTTTTTCACCTTGTGGTTCTGCCAGTGACACGCTTCCAAAGGCGAGACGGCAAATGCACTGTACTGTGTCTATGGAGAAGGAGCATTAACACCCTAGGCTGCTCACTACTGATTGTGACTACAGAACCATTATTTCTGCAAACCAATATTTTAGCAGTTTCACTCTTAGGGCTGATTTATCTATAAACTTTCACACAACATTCTAGCCACTAGATGGAGCCAGGCAGCATAGGAATTCTATGCTCTTCTGCCCCATCTGGGGGCAGTGATGCTGTGCAGATGGCATTTACTCGGCTTTATGCTGGGCGGAGCACTTGTACATCATCCTCTTTGTGTCAAACTTCGTGTTGGTGTTAAAGGTACTTTAACAATAGAGTTCTTTGGGCCACTTTGTAGTTCTGAAAGGATTAATAACCTATTTCAATAGCTAGGCTGGAAGTGTACTTCTGGGGTTTGTTTCAAAGTAATTACATAGATTGTTACATTGCATTTCCTGTATTTTTGTTTTCAGTTACAGACGAGTATTTTGAGGATGCACAAGTGTCCATCTTCAAATACGAGTGGAAAGAACTGAATAACCTGGCTCTCTCGTACCATGGTGACTACTCCAAAATTCAGTCGCATGTTCTTTGGAAGATAAATGCTGAATGTAAGTGAACAAACTTGTTTTTTTCACATGCTTTAAAGATACTTTTGTTCTCTAACATCTGACATTTTTGCAAGAATCCAAAGGCTGTAGACCAGAGAATTTAAATGGACACTTAACATGTGACTGAAGACCAAGGGGAGGGCAGCTAAAATGTATATCAAAGTGATCGGAGTCTTTAAAGTAGAACTGAAAGCAAATTTCCCCTATTCATCTTCACAAGAGAGATGGGTTCCACCCACTTAAAACGGGACACGATCATCCACAATTAAAATAAAATATAAAAAAATAAAATAAAAGGGGTGGTCTGGCCCAGCCCCCTCAGTATTAAAATAGAACTAAGACGGAAGGACCACCAGACAGTAACCATAAAATTCATGTTGAAACGCACCCCTCAACAAGCAGGGAGGGAATCCCTGCTGTCCTGGAAGATTGTTAGTAAAGTAGAACTAAAAGGAAATTTTCCCAATTCATCTTCCAGGGCAGCACGGGAGAGATGGGACCCACCCACTTAACACCGGAAACCTTTTAATAATAAAAATAAAAGGGGCGCTCCTGCCCAGCCCCCTCAGCTTATTGCGTTTCCTTTGGCCCAATAGGAGCATTGTAACAGTTTTTTTTTTGTTTTTCCATAGGCCTGCGTGCTAGTTTCAGAGGGGCCTCCCAGTGTATGCTCCCCTGGGATTCAGGTACAGTGGACCTGGAGAGGGGTTGCATGCCTGTGCTTGTCTTAAGAATAACCTTCCTTGAGTTATCCTAATTGTGGGACCCTCCCTCCCATCTCTTTCCCCAAGGTTTCTTATTCGCCCTGAGGAGAAGCAACTATCGCCATGAGCATAATGGCTCTAGCAGAGCTTTCCCTTACTCATGTTTGGTTCGGCTCTGAGTTCTCCCCTGCACTGCCTCCAGGTGAGTGGGGTGAAGGAGGAACCATTGGTGGCCATCAGTACTCCCTATGTATGCTGCCATGTTGTGGATATTTATATCCATTAGCATGGTCTAAGATGAGATTACTGCTTTGGTGAAAGCATTGGTTGTGATGTAGTTCTGAAACGCAGTATCTATAATTTTATCTGGAGTTCATTCTGTGTGCATTTTGTATAACTATCTACAAGATAACCAATTTACTGCTTAGTATAATTGGTTTATGATGCATTTCCTGAGTTCATACTTTATGCAATTGTATAGCTTTACTGTACTTGGTTCTGTGCATCCCAAGTTGTGTGTGAACTCCATTGGGGTTGCAACAATAAATGTTTTACAGACAAGCCATGTTTGGTGGTAGCCAGTTAATACTGCACCAAGCCCATGGCGAGTCATTTTATGTGACTCATTTACAGCAGCTAGTTTCTGCTGGGCACTTTGCATATCATGTGGTGGTCTTGTATAATTTGGTGGCATCTACGTTGCACCTTCTTGATAAACTGGTGGACAATTGGCCGTATTAGGCTACATCCAAAACTGCCACTTGCTCTTTATAGCTCTATATGGCGGAAATGTCTGTCTGTCCAGCATTGGCCCTGGATAAAGTTCCCGGAGTTTATGTACACTCCAGAGTCTGCTGTCAGGTAATCCCATTGTGCCGCACCTGGTAAGTTGTTGGTAGCTTGCGGGTTTTTTTTTTTTTTTAATATCTGCTGTAGGACAGGTAGATTGCAAGAGATTGACCATGCCTCTTTTTATTCAAACCCATCCACTGAGTAGAACAAGGCTTTTCTTCAGCTAGGCTTTAGAAGGTGTCTTCTTACCTGGAAGTCAGTCACCCTTGGAGGAAATCCAAGAATATTTGGCCTGTTCAGGGCCTAAGGAAGGCTGCCAAGCATCAGAACACTGATGCTTGGTGACTTATGCTATCCATTGCCCCATCACCCTCCAGTGGCTTTTATGGCACTCTCCAATAGGGCCTTAGGCAGAGAAAGCTGGGATGTCACCCGAGCGTACCTGGAAGGAAGCTACTGGGTCCTGTACCAATTTCTTGTGTTGCACCGCAGAGTTGTCCTACTCCCCTGCTGAGGTCAGACTTTTGACAGAAAGGAGCCTCTAGGAAAGCGTGTGCCCCCCTCCAAATAAAAAGTGCTAGTTTCTTGATAATTATTTTCTGTGCTGCCCTGGAAGATGAATTGGGAAAATACAAGTTGGGTACCTGCAAACTGTTCAACAATCTTCCAGCACAGCAGGGATTCCCTCCCTGCTTGTTGAGGGGTGCATTTCAATGTGAATTTTATTAGGGGTGCGTTTCAACGTGAATTTTATTGTTACTGTCTGGTGGTCCTTCCGCCTTCAGTTCTATTTTAAAGCCTAGGGGGCTGGGCAGGACCACCCCTTTTATTTTAATTGTGGCTGATGGGATCCACACACCTGAAACAGTAAACAATCTCTCCTGTGCTGCCCTGGAAGATTCTTGGAAAAGAAGTTACCAGGTACCCAACTTTTTTTTTTTCTGACTAGAGTAAGGGGGTTGAGGAGTGGGTTAAAACTCCTGGCAGCTTTTTTTTTGCCAGCTGTGCCCCAATGGGGTGATTTCCCTTCACCTTCTGTCCCATAGCTGTAACTGAAGTGAGAAGAAATCCCTGGTGGTCATCAAGGGTCACCAGAACTAGTGACCCATCTGCTCTTAAAACGCATCTGATAGGTAATACCTCCACTCTTCATCAGGTTTTTATTGTGGTCTGTGATGTCTCTGTGGAATATTTTCCTTTTATTTTTTTTCCCCATGATGACCATTTTCACTGAAAGTGGAAGAAACCCCCACATTTTGGGTAGTCGGAGCATTGATGAGAAATCTGACAGTGGGGACACTAGTTCTGGTGACCCTTGCTGACCACCAGGAATTTCCTTCACTTTGGAGGGATTTCTTCTCACTTCCTGTTATGGATAAGGGACAGGAAATTAAGGAAAATTCCCCCCATGAGACAAAGATGGCAAAAAAAGCTGCCAGGAGTTCTAACCCTCCTATTCAGAAAACAATGTATAAAATACAAGGCTTCTGTTCTGTTTTTAAAGGCTCCTATCACTTGAATGTACATTTTGGCTGCATCAATTTGCTGATATACCTGTCAATCAGAGTACACAGAAAGGGGTCACTGCTTTCCTGGATTTCTTGGAATGGATGCATTGTCCAGTTAGGCAATGCTTTTGTGAGCTGTACAAGAAGCCTTTCTAGAAGTTTCTTGGGATTTCTAAAAAGACTCTGAGCTGTCTGTTGTGATATCTACACTGAAACATTTATAAAGCCATTAACAATGGCAAGGGCTTTTGGTCTTCCGTGTATATACATAATAGAAGTTTGTGCTAATGAAATATTAAACCCAAGTTGCACTTTAGAACCGATGGCGGCTTATTTCAAGTGCTGGATTTGGTTTTTCTCAATACTGTTTGGTACTAGATGAAAAATCAAATTGTGTTCTTTCCGTCATTTCTAGAACCACATAAACTGCATTCCTTTATGGTGATTTTGTTTTTTGTCACCTCTTGTAACACAAGCAGTACATGAGGGTATGCTCTAAGTGTCCCTGGCCACTTGAGGTGTTGGCCATGCGCTCCCATAAATATTAAAGAATAAGGACAAAACTTAGTGTATTTCTACTTTTGCAGTGAAAGTTCAGAAACTATGCTTGTGCTCCCATGCCATTCACACAGCCTACCATAATGAATTCAATATGTAGAGCAGGGGTAGGGAACCTTGGCACTCCAGCTGTTTTGGAACTACAAGTACTATGAGGCATTGCAAGACTGACATGACTCCCAGAGGCAGATGCATGATGTGATCTGTAGTTTTAGCACAGCTGGAATGCAAAGGTTGCCTACCCCTGATGTGGAGCTTCAATTTTCTACAAGTCCCTTGGGGTATGTCTCTATTGGCTTAACACATCTAGCCACTGGAATTTTTGCCCATTCAAGGCAAAACTGTTTTAGCTCCAAGTTGGTATACAGCAATCTTCACGTCGTGCCACAGATTTTCAATAGAATTGAGGTCTGGGCTTTGAATAAGCCATTCTAAGACATTTAAATGTTTCCCTCTAAACCACAAGTGTCAAACTCAAGGCCCAGGGGCCGAATCCGGCCCACCAGGCCATTTCCTAGACTTCTACTTTCAGATCTAGGTATTTGGGTTATTACTAAAACCAGTGATAATCGAATGCAGAGGCAATTATGATAAAGATTAGATACATTTATATAATGTTACAGATACCTTTTGAGGGCACCCATAATGTTGATGCGGCCCACGATTAAATTGAGTTTGACACCCCTGCTCGAAGTCATACAGTTTAGCAGTATGTTGTCTACCTCAAATGCAAAAAATATCCCTTAACCCTAATCTTTACGTTTGAAGGGTCATTCGTGTTGCACTGCACTATTTTAAAGTTAAAGCTGAACTCTAAGATAAGCAAATGTGGTTTAAATCGGGTGTGGGCAAACTCTGGCCCTCCAGCTATTGAACTAAAGATCCCATGAGGCATTGCAAGATTCTCACAGCCAGAGGTGTGACTCCCAGAGACAGATAACTGGGTTTTAAGCTTCACAGCTGGAGGACTGGAATTTGCCCACCCCTGGTCTAGAGGAGACATTCAGGAGGCTATTCAGTATATTTATATTAGCTTTTATGCCCGTAGTTAAGCTTTGAGATTGAATTCCACATTAAGATTATCAGTTGTAAAATACTGCTATAGTACCCAAGTACTTCACATTACCACTCCTGAACAGAGTAGATCTTATGTTTAGCACTGTATATAGTAAGACTTTTTTTTTTTTTTTCCCCAAAAAATTATTTCACGTCTTTTAGGTCATGATGATCTGGAGTGGCTATATTGCCAGTACAGCAGAAAGAGATACCAGTGGCTGTTCTCCTATTGGCTGTTTGGCCTTTCCAAGTCATGTGCTAGGCAGCTGCGAAGAATTTACCTGTGGTGGCAAAGGTTTGATAAAAAGAAAGTGTCGCAGTGGGGTTCCATGGACTGTGATGTCCAGTATCTTGCATCTCTTCATAATGTCACAAATGACTTCTGGAATGGGAAGCTGGCCGATCGTGATGAGAATATAGGTAACATATGATGATGCCAATTAATAAATATTTGGGTTTCTACTATGGAGGGTTCACAGTAGCCAAATTCCACTGTGGAAGACACTGGGGGATCAGCACATATACAAGATGTACTTCTAGTGTATTTATGGTGTACTTCTACAACCATTGAGTGGCATTTAAGTGTGTGGTCTTAGTTTTTAGAGTACCTGTACCCTTGTATGATGCGGTTTCTGAGGACAGTATCTAATTGATTTTTTGAATGGTTCAATGCTCTGCTGATGCCACTGCTTGTGGCAGAGTTACAAAATTCAACCACTCTAACTGAAAATAAGCCTCTATGCCCTCTGTCATTGAATCTTTTCTACCTGTAAGGGAGTTTACAGTAAAGTTTAGTGCCAATGTCCCAAAATCATGTCCCCTCTTAATCTCACTTCCCGTGTGAACAAGTTTAGATTTAGCAACCTTGTCTCATGGCTTTGGTCCTCCAGCCACTTAATTAGTTTTGTTGCTCTTCTCTGGACTCTCTCCAGCTCCAGGACATCCTTACTGTGGATAGGCGACCAAAACTGAACCATATAATCAAGATAAGGCCAAACAAGCGATCTATAAAGAAGCAAAGTTATTTGTCTCTACAGTACATTCCCTTTTTAACCCCTTCATGACTGAGGCCTTTTTCATTTTTTGCACCCATGTCATATTCCACATTTTAGGCCTGAAAATGAATTTAAACCCCCAAATATTATATATTTTCTGAATGCCAAGACCCTATAGAATAAAATGGTGGTAGTTGCAAATTTTTATGTTGCGCAATATTAGCGCAACTCCTTATTAAACCCCAACATTTAGTGAAAAATGTAATTAAATGTCCCAAAACACAAGAAAATACTTGGATCGATGAACGGAAGTTCGTGGACCTCCTCCCCAGCTCCCTGCCGACACTAAGGAAGCCGGTCCCGGGCCCGTAGGAGGGGCAACGGAGCCCGGGAAGCACATCGGCGGTGTCCGGCGGGGGGGTTCTAGAGACGCCCGCTCAGATCGAGAGAGCTCCTGGCCGGCCGTTTTCTTACTACGGCCGGCCCGGAGGTAGTTAATGTGTATTCCTCTTGCCTGTTTTTTAACCCCAAAATGCATTACTTTACATTTATCAACATTAAACCTCATCTGCCATAGTTGCCCACTGCCCTATTTTATCCAGGTCCTCCTGTAATGTTATAATGTCTAAGCCTGTTTCTATATTACCCTTCCAATTTTAGTATCCGCAAACACTGAAACATGACTATTAATACCTTCCCCCGATATCATTAATGTACATGTTAAACAGTATGGGGCCTAGCGCAGAACCCTGGGGCACGCCACTCAACGATAGACCAATCTGAAAAAAGAGCCATTTATCAATACTCTCTGGACACGTTCCTGTAGCCAGTTCTCTATCCATATACACAAAATTTTGTCTATGCCCCTAGATTGTAGCTTGTGAACTAAGCGTTTGTGGTACTGTGTCAAATGTCTTTACAAAATCCAGATATACTACATCCACTGGTTTTCCTCCATCCAGATCTCTACTCGCCTCTTTCTAGAATATTAGTAGGTTGGTCTGAGAAGAACAGTCCTTCCTAAAACTGGTGAGAACACATGTAAGTTTGTTTTGCTATGTGTCCATTAATCAGATTTCCCCTTGCTTCAAACAAAAACAAATGTTGGCTTTCTTCTAGTCTAGCAGTAGAACCATGCATTCTCACTGCTACTGAAGGAAGAGTTGTGACTTACCAGACTTGTCATAAATCGGGGCCAATAATGTGGATGTAAAATCTTTAATAAGCCATTACAGATTTTATACACAGTCTCAATTTTTCAAAATGAGCTAAAATCCAACAAGTCATGTGACCTTAAGGCAACCGGGAACTGCCGTATGAGCTGTAATGTGGGTCAATGCTCTATACACAGGAAGGTTAAATGGTAAATGTGCTGACCCAAGCTCAACCTAGAATAGAGCTTGTCAAAATCTAATTTTTCAAACCTTCAATACGTTTGTTTTAAGTTCTTACATTGTTGGTATTAAAACTGTTTTATTGGTCATTATAGGTAACGGTTATTTCTTATACCAACTGAATGTTAGTATTTGGTTGGGTCTGTCATGCATAGTTTGTATTAAAAATATGCTTTGAGGCTTTCAGTTCTGTCTCTTATAATCAAAGCATGCACCATGTGCTTTGCTTTGAAGATCCATGCAATGCTCCATGCATTGCTTTTAAGATCCAAGGCTGTAGTAACTGGTGACTGAGCTTTGACTTTGGACTTGATCTGCATTCTGCCTAGCTTTATGAAGTACAACTGAAACTACTGAAATAGACATATTGCTTGTTCCCACTGTCTCCAAATGTAAAAACATTTAAAGTCTGTTTTTTTGTTTGCCATCTGTGTCTCATTATGGGAATTTTTTTATTTACTTCCTGTTGACTTCACAGGAAGTGATGGGATAGCTTTCTAATGTGATGGAATACACTTAGACAAATGTCACAGGAACAAGTGTCCCCATTGGAAGACTTCCCATTTATTCCTGTTCTGCAAGCAACACAACATTTTGGATTTGCCTGCTTTCATTCCTTGCGCCATTAGTGATCAGGGTGAATCTCCCTAATGGGCACATAGACTGCAATAAAACCAGTGGTTCTAACCCCCACCACTCCAAATCTATAAAATATCTTTAGAAATACTTTAAATTCTAATACAACATTGTGCCTCCATGATTTGGGTGCTATTATGTAGTACCCTAAATCTGAGCTAATGCCTCTAAACATAAGGTTGACCTAGCAGGCTATAGCCATTTCTTCAATGCATATTATCCCTGCAATGGTCCTATATTAATGAGCATTTTTTTTTCTCAAGGTATTCAGACTGTGGAGAACTACTTTTCCATGTGCAGGTCCCTCTTGGCGTGGATTCTGGGTCGTAAATGGGGAAGATTTAAACAAAAGAAGGTATCTGGGTAGAATTCTTTCCCTTTGGGCAATGTTTGCCACTGCTGTACACCCATGTGTATTACTGTTCACATGTATCCCTAGTAAATACTAAATCTCTAAGTAAATCATCTTTACCATTTGTGTTTCTTCAATGTAGTGAAAAAGGATTAAACTGCGCTTCCTCTGCCACAATTACTGGCAATTGCTGGCTGCCACAATGACAGCCAGGACTAGCTATGTATCAGAGCTTTTATCTGCATCTCATGAGTTAAAGGAGTCTTCCAAGTGAATACATGTATTCCTAATTTAACCCCTTAATGGCCTTTATTTAACACTAACTCCTTTCTTGCATTTGGCCCTTTTTTTTTTTTGTACCATTTAATCTGTTTTAATTTTGTTTGCATGATTTCATATTTATTTTGTACAATAATTTTTTTGTAATCTTTGCTTTCATTTGTTTGCATGTATTCAATCTTAAATTTTGACTGTTCTCACTGAACAGTCCAATAGTAGAAATGTAAAAACCTCTAACGGGTATAGTTACAGCAACTGAAGTGATTATTTTACAGATTGGGAATTCATGTGAACATGGATGTGATGGATATTTTGGCAAGCTGTTCAGGATTAGGCAGCCAACATACTGTAGCGGTCCATCCCAATGACACTTGAAGTGGCCACCTCGGCCTGCTCAATGTGTCAAGGTTTCTACACTCTGTGGGGGCAGACTTGCTTACGGCTATGGATGAGGTTCAGGGTCACTGCTTCCAAGTGATAAAGGCAGATGATGGAGCTTCAAAATTCACAATCTGAGTGAATTTATGTGCAGCTTCGTCTGGGATAATATTTTTTTAAGCTATAGTGCGCTGCATGGCCTTTGAGCTATGATGTCGGGCTTACATGGGCCAATAAGAGGGTTTCTGGATAAGCCGGCGCCCTCACTATAAAGAGGCCCAGATCAGTTAGTGTCAGTGCATTGGAAACTGCGGCAGGGAAGAGAAAGCTGACAAATTGCATAAAGAGATTAGGGTCAGTTAGGAAACTGTACTTTAGATCTGATTGCTAGCTCTTTGGGCAATCAACCCCTTTGCTGTGATGTTGGTGGGTATTTTTTCTTTATTGAAGGCATTTTTGTCTAATTTTTATTTCATGGTTTATGAGATCAGTAACTTTGTCGCTGTCCCCCCATTTTTTTTTTCTCTTGCAAGATTTTATTTTTTGGGGTTTAACTAATTTAGTTTTTCTTCAAGGCTTCTCCTGTAAGAGTTTTAATTCAGTACCTCTGGTATAGTATGAAGATGACAATTTGCACAGACCCTTGCTGCCAGGAAGCCAGTGCAGAGCACTTATGTAATCAGATACTAGAGTGATTGTAGGTAGACAGGAAATGGCTGAAAAAGGCCGGCAGAGAACTGCTAAAATGATCAAACTCTTTTTTTTTTTTTTTGACATTGTCTTATTATAACAAAGACCTTTTTTAGTTAACCCATTGGGTATGGGTGTGATGTAGATTTTTCATAAATTTTAATAAGCTTTTGGAATTTTTATAGATGTTCAAGGACACATTGGAAGGTGTTTACCGTTCTCTGAAATCGGAGATGAAGGTTTCATTAATAAGCCATGAACATTTTTGGACTACAGCTAAAGTTCAGATGTACAGGATCTGCAGTCTTGAAGAAATTGCCGGCAACTATGTAAACTGGAAGCTTATAGATGCACTACCATGCTACAGGTAAATCCTTAAAATAAATCCTGGCGGATTTATTATTTATATATTGGGTATGCTGTTTGAATAGGAACACTTACCATAGTGTAGTTTTCCCAAATTTAACTGCAAAAGTGGAAATACACTTTTAAGTGTTCACTTGCAATGTTCCTATAAATCTTCTAGAAAATCTGACCAGCCTGTTGACTAGCACAGCCCCTTCTGTCCTTCCATGCCATAACCCTCTTCTGGGAGTGTCTAAATACTTTCTGTGCTGGCCCAGCTACTTCAAACTTCCCCTCACCTCCCTACATAAAGTTATGTCCTGCTGTAATTTATTTTTTTATACCAGAAGATGGTATTTGCCACCTTGGCAATGGTAGTAAAATGTTGTTTTGGGAGTTAATGTAACTGAGATGGGAATATGTAATTGTTTTGCATACTTCCTATCGGAGGTTTTTTTTTTTTTTTTTTTTAATAGAGCTGGGCCATGTTTGACCCATGTGTGGGTGGAGTAGTTGGGTGGATTTGGTCTGTGGTTTCCAGTATGAATGGAATGATCAGTCACTTGTATCCTGTTGTAATTGCCATTCACCAGGTTGTTCATGGCTACTGGAGAGCCTTTGTATTTGGAACAAATTAAGGGTTTCCTGTTTCGGAAGCAACTGGTAAACAACTGGATCCTTCACAAAGAGAATTTGTGGGTGAGCAGCCTTTTACCTGAGAGTCTCTTCCAGCTACTGGAGTATGACACAAAGATTTATGAAGGTAATGTTCCAGAAAGCCGATTATATTGGTGCACCAAACTACATGTGATGGCATTTATTATAATGCGTATGCTAACACTGATAACAAATGGATCTTTCCTAAGGTGTAAATCTGGGCAAAAAAAAGTTTTATCAATTAAACGCGGCAAGTGCATGTAAATTATTGCTGGTTCTGACAGAAATTTGTGTGGTTTAACTTCCTGTTAAGTGCCACTGCCGCACTGAAATCCCAACCAGTATTGTTGGCCTATCCTCAGCTGTCCCTTCAGAATATCTCTCCTTTTCTATGGAGATGTGCTCTAAATGCCAAAAGGAAGATCTGGGCAGGTCAGATGATGCTAAAAAGGTTTTCCATGCAGAAGAAGCATGGTCATAAGCCCAAAATCCAGTGTGCTACTAACAGCAGTAAATTGTGTAGCCCTTAAACTTTGACACTTGTGAAATGTTGGTCAGTATTTAACAATACTTTCAATATTGTGGTTCTGCCACGCTCCTTTTACTGTAATGTTGTGGTTGATGGAATGAGTGTCCCTGCCGCTGCATCATATGAAGCAGGTGTAGAACAGCCATTGCTGTCCCTTGTTGGATTGGCCATTTTTACATCTGCCAGTGTGATCTTCATCCTTGCTGTATTTACAAATGCCACATCTGAAGGAAAGTGGATGAGCGTGACTGACTCTGGCGTGTGTGGTGCTTTTAAGAGCATGTATGATGACTCTGGTCAATGGAAAGGTCTATGCATGCAAAACATTTTTTGTGGTGTACTCATTGGCATGCCTTCATCAAATGGTCCCACAGTCGGTGAACCCCTGAATGCTCCTTGGTGTTGTGTCTATGGCCATTGGCATCTGTCCTACAGTAGATGTACCAGAGATGAGTGGTCACTCCTAGCAAGCCTTACCAAAGTATAACTAGCTGTGTAACTTGCAGTTTTAAAAATTGTCCTATTAAAAGCAATAAATGACAGTGAGTGAGGGGAAATTACCAAAACGAGAGCAGGCAGAATCTGGAGCAGTTGCCCATGACAACGAATCAGCTTCTTGCATTTGCAAATCTTAACTGATCAAACTGAAGAGAGAAGCTGGTTACTATAGGCAGCTTCTCCAGATTGTCTGCTCCAGTTTGGATAAATTCCCCTCAATGTTTTTCCCCGGTGATAATCGTATTGCTCTTTTTCTTTTCAGAGAGACTCCATGGAGATACCTTGGGTGCCCACTTAAGCAGATTAGTCTGGCTCTATCTGCATTCCGGCCAGCAGATCTACATGGATGCCATGAAGGGTTTTGTTTATGAATGTGCTTATGCGAGTTATACATACCAGATCTACGAAAATGCCAGTATACCCTACGTGGGGTTTTAATCAGAAGAATTATTTTTTACCTTTTTTTTAAAAATCTTTTAATTTCTTTTAGAGAATTGCACTTTTAAGGAGGGTTACCGAATAACCTTACACCTGGGCTTTTTACTGCGATATTTATAAGCCTGTAAAATCCATGTATGTTTGAATGTACATTGTGGGTAGCAGGCACTGATATTTATCAGGTAGACTTTTTATATAGTAATGTAAGGCTAAAATTGACTTGTAACCTTTTTAAAGATGACTTTTAAAGTGTTTTATACATAGAAAGGAGTCACTGCAGGGGATTCTAGATTTTTATATGGACATTGGTGCCTTCTGTAGTATATAGAATAGGATCTGTCGGCCTTTAAACATTGACTTGACTTGCAATGCGGTTGAGTCTCTTGCAGTGCCTTGCTTCTAACTGATGCACTTGTTTGCTGCCTCCTTGTTTTAAGCTTTTTTTTTTAACCATTGAACTACTTGCCATGTATATATCTTTGCAATAGAGAAACCATAAGCAAGGCATTCTTGCAATACTAGCAGATTGCATTAGAAATGTCCTCAGTGAGATTTTGTACAGTACTCGGCATAGGTTGGATTACTTCTGCCAGTCATTAGATTACTTTAGCTAGTCCCAAGGATGCTCTGGGGTCAGTACAACCAACATAAATAGGAATGGGCCTTTATTTGAGAATGCAAGCAGAGGAATATTAAGCTTTCTATAGACCTTATGAAAGGACTGTTTGTAGTTGGGCTATGTAGTGTAAAAAGAGCAGTAACAAAGGCAACATTAGAAATGAACATGTCCTGATTAAACTAGTACACACCAGAGATCATTTGATGGAACGGTGCAGTCTCCTTGAATAGACCTATGTTTTTGGTGGCAAGCCAAGTATGGGCATTTGAAGGTGGGTGGGGAGTTCATGTCAAGGTACCTTTTCACACGGCTCTGATCGGGTTTACCTGTCAGTTTTTCAGGGGGACCCAATCGGATGCCCAATGCAAGTCTACTGGCAGCCAGGTGTAAATGGCTGGGCATCTCTTTACACCCGGTTACCCCTGACTCTGGCCGGGTTCGGGAAAAATGGACGCATAAGAGATCCATTTCATCGGACTGGATCGGGGGTAATCTGATGTAAACGGACACATGTTCGATTCCCCATACACCAACATGGGGTATTTGCAGTTTGGAGGAAAAACTGTACGGTGACATCCATTCCATACTGCTGTGATCAGGAGACGATCTGTGCACGGACCCTCTCCTGATCAGCCTGTGTGAAAGGGGTCTTTTACTTTACTGGAGTTGAGTTTTAAAAGACAAATTTGTTGCCGTAGATTTGCACATGGCTCTTTGCATTTAAAAAAAATGGAGATAAATGTAAGGCAGTTTGCAGAATTTTAGAACTATGTTTACATCGTAGACTTGTAGTTTGTCTTCTGTTGCTTTATACTGTGCAAATTTCTTTAATTCCAGGTTTTATTTGTGATGAGGTAGCCAAATTTTAAGTGTAGAGCCTATAGTTGGCTCAACATTGAGAATGTTGATGTAGGTACTGAAATTGGTCAGGCAATAAATACCTACTACAAATATAAAACAGTGTTGTAATTTTTATGGTGTGTTTTGTACCAAATGTATTTTTAGAAAATAGTATGTGCCCTGTACGTTATATTTTTAAACATGTATAGATACAATCAAAGGATTCAGACCCCCCTTCACTCTTTTCAATTTTGTTGCAGCCTGATACTACAGTTGCTTAAATTCTCATGGTTCTACACTCAGTACCCCTATAATGACAAAGTGAAAACAGAATTTTAGAAATGTCTGTCAATTTATTACAAAGAAAAAAAACTGAAATATCACATGTACTTAAGTATTAAGAGCCTTTACTCCTTTTTGGCAGTAATTACAGCCTCGAGTCTTTGGGTATGACGCAACAAGCTTTGCACACTCCTGGATTGGGGGATTTTCTGCTATTTTTCTTTGCAAATCCTCTCTAGCTCAGTCCGGTTGGATGGGGACTGTATCGGTGGGACAGCCTTTTTCAGGTCTCTTCAGAGATGTTTAATAGGGCTCAATTCAGTGCTCTGGCTGGTCCACTCTAGGACATTCAGAGTTGTCCCTTTAGCCACTCCTGTGTCTTGGCTGTGTGCTTAGGATCGTTGTCATGTTGGAAGGTGAACTTTCGGCCCAGTCTGAGGTCCATAGCGCTGTGGAACAGGTTCATTGAGGATAGCTCTGTACTTTGGTCAGGGTTGAAAGAACGCTGAATGGAGCAGCCTCCCAGTCCTTGCTGCTGAAAAAACACCCACATATATCCTGATGCTGCTACCACCATGCTTAACTGTTGGGGTGGTATTGGGCAGGTGATGAGTGGTGCCCGGTTTCCTTCAGACCTAATGTTTAGAATTGAGGCCAAACATTTCAATCTTGGTTTCAGCTAACCAGAGAATCTTGTTCCTCAGAGTCCTTGAGGTGTGCTTTTGTTTTGCAAACTCCAAGTGGGCCTTCATGTGTTTTGCCCTGAGAGGCTTCCATTTAGCCACTCTGCCATAAAGACCAGATCGGTGAAGGGCTGAAGTGATGGTTGAGCTTTGAGCTCCAGAGCTCCAGAGATCCTGTGTGGAGAGTGGACAGAGTGACCATTGGGTTCTTGGGCACCTCTTGCTGAGGCCCTTCTCCCCGATTCCTCAGTTTGACCAGGCAACCAGCTCTTGGCAGAAGTTTGGCACAACCAGGACTCTTCCATTTGAGAATTATGGAGGCCAATGTGCTCTTAGGAACCATCAGTGTAGCAGATTTTTTTTTTTTTTTGTAGCCGTCCCCAGAACTGTGCCATGGAATAATCCCATCTCTGAGCCCTGCAGGCAGTTCCTTTTGACCTCATGGCTGTTGCTCTGATACAGTATGCATTGTTAGCTGTGCAGTGGTCACCAAGTGATGAGGAAGCGTGAAGTCAGCTTTCTGGCCAATCGGAAAGCCGGGGGGCAGGTAATGACCAGCCATCCGGCTTCCTGATTGGTTGGGAAGCTGGCCAATCGGGAATCTAGGCAGCCAGTAATGACATGTTGCTCGGCTTCCTGATTGGCCGGGAAGCCAGCTCCATGCTCCCTTGTGACAGAGCATGGAGCTGGCTTCCCAGCTAATCCGGAAGCCGGGCAACATGAAATGACTCGCTGCCAAGCTTCCGGAAGTTTGGGTATTTGGCTAGGCATCTAAGCATTTGGGGTAAGAGTACTCGCCCAAATACTTACTAGTATCCGTATTGGTGCAGCCCTACTTCTATCAGTATTGATTCTGAATATTGACATTTTAACAATTATGTTGTAATGTTCTGTGCATCCAAAACTGCTGGTTTAGACCATATAAAATGGTTTTAAAACCCCACTCCAGCCAAAACTTAGTGGGAGGGTTGGCTCTGTCAACTTTGTGTGGTCTTTGTCCCCATTTGGGAGGGTTCTCCTTACATAAAGTTTGGGTGTTGGGTCAAATGGGAAGTAAGGGAAAATATCCCCACTTATTTGGTGGGTGTTTAGGCAGAATCAGAATTGAATCTATGATAAGTAGGGTTTCTTTTTTCGGTTTTTTTAATAGAATAATTTGTAGAATAAGGACCTGTGACTGAAGATACGCTGTGTGTTGGCATGGTGTCTTGTGTGATGACCTATATGTGCCATTGTGATTTCATAGACACACTAACCTCAGGACATCTTCAGCCTATTTACCTGAGCCTCTATCCTAGTTCACATTATAATTATAGGGATTTTTTTTTTTCTATTAACTACTGTATAAGGGAAACTCTAAAACAGGGATTCATGCAGTGTGTCTCTGGGAATCAGGCCTAAAGCGCTGTCTAGTAATGCATCATGGGATTTGTAGTTGCACTGGCGTTTGCCCAACCCTGCTCTAAAACCTTAAACATTAATGTATATGTGAAAGAAGTACCTTACAAAGGTGTTACATGTAGAGCTAGACATAAAAAAAAAAAAAAAAAAAAAAATTTGGGGGGTATGCTAGATTGCACTGTGTTGAGGTTGGATTAAGCTCCCACGTTAACATCCAATACAGGCAGTGTGAACATAACATAAAGAGCATTTATAAATATACCATAAGCATAAACCTTGACTGTTTATCTGTTGGAACCAAATCACTCTGTCCCTCATTCCTCAACAAATGTCCCTTCTTTAGCTCTAGTGTTTGGATCTGTACAAATCCACTCGTTTAGGTAGAATTACATTTTGGGGGGTGTAACTATGCAATGTGTACTTGCACATTATAATGCTTACCTCCTGGGTCTGCTCTCCCAGGCCTGAGCTCCCTGCATCTGTAAAAAGCCAGCACTGTCCTGCAGTCAATATATAGATTAGGTAGGTAAGAGGGTTTTAGCAGGAGAGGCATTAGGGACCACACTTGGTGCGGCAGTGTGGCTTCAGCATGTATGCAACAAACACATTTTTGTTATCCAAACAATTTTTTTGTGTGGTTTTTTTGTGTGGTTTTTTTGTTTGGCTAGCTTGAAGTGTGCTGGAGCCCTCTATTGTGTGACTGTTTGGGCCATTATTTTTATTTATTACAGGTATTTATATAGCACTGACAATTTACAGGGTGCACATTTACATCAGTCCCTGCCCTCAAGGAGCTTACAATCCAAGGTCCCTATCTTGCATGCATACAGGGCTGATTTAGGCCTGGTTCACACCTGGGCGTTTTACAGCGCGTTCCTACGCTCTGTAAAATGCTCAACATGTGAAAACCAATGATTGCCAATGGGCATGGTTCCCACCTGGGCGTTTTACAGCACGTAGGAACGCGCTGCAAAACGCCCTACGCCCAAAGAAGTACAGGAGCTTCTTTTGGCGTATTTGCTGCACATATCCATTGGGATACAGCCAGGTAGCCCTTGGAAATGTGTGTTTTTTAAACTGCGAATTGTGGTAGAAATGTGTGACAAGTGCGCATATTTGATATGCCTAGGTGTGAACCCAGCCTTAGAGGCCTGTTCACATGATTGTCAGGTCCT